GGATCGCGAAGGTTTTGGAGGGTCAAGGCGATACCGAAGCTGCGTTGGAAGATTGCTTCGCCTATAAAGCTTTTGACGAAGCTCAAAAATGCTTATATGAACATGATGATCAGTTTGGCTGGGAACGTGGGCTCCTTGAATACCGAGAATACGTTTGGAGGAAAACGGATTCCCAAAGCTCGAAAAGTTCCTGTTGTTTATTCCAGCAATGAATTTGACCAAAGGTTGGTTTATGAGATTTACAAGGCTCTAGCAGCTACTAGAGAATTATCCGCGGGGTAAATTAAACAACTTAATTATATCCCTAAGTGCAGTTCATTTTTGCATAAGTTAATGGTGGTGCTTTCACTCAGTATGAGATTCCTCGAAGTTAAATTAGTTTCAACTTATCCTTTTCAATGAGGTATTAATTCTGTTAAGATTTTTTTTTCTTTCATTAATTTCTTCTTGTTGTGATTATTTCGATCTTGTGACTTTGTTTTTCCCCATTGTCAAGTGTACTTCGTATGTACATATCTATCAGTTTGAACTTAATAGGGAAACCTCAAAAAAAAATTAATGGTTTGACATTTCGGATTTGAATTTTAACACGAGAAGAGGAAATTGAATTGAAGAGCATTATTCCTCCATTTTCGTCATACAACTTGGTCAGTATTAATTACAAGGAAAATAAAAATTGGTCACAGTTCCCCTGTTAATTTTTACAATTACGTGCATTGATCACACCTATTGTTGAATGTCAATTTGAAGTTTGCATCCCTACCAACTTCCCCTCCTCAGTTACTATTCTGTTATAGTTTTTACGGGGTTATTCTTAGTCCATTTGAACTGAAACAACAGAAAAACTATAAGTTTTGCTACGGCCAATCTGACCTTCTGAGATGGCCTCGACCCTCAAATATGAGGTAAACTGATGAATTGTCTGAGGGGATTTTTCCAGGCTGGTACAGTTTAATTACACACGTGCATTGTCAATGTTGAACAATGCCATAAGGCTTGACATTTTTTTAATTAAATTGGGATACAATTTTTAGTTAAGAAATTTAAATTTAAGTCTGTTATTTAAGTAAGAGATACTTATACTTACTATTAAATCAAATGTTTTATAGCTTGAGTATTACTATTCACACGTAAACTATATAACCGAAGAATTAATTAAAAAAATCAAAGAACCTAGTAATCATTTTAAAAAAAGGAAAATTGATTATCACTTACAAATGATCATAAGTTTCATTTTGAAAATGAGATCATTGCAATTTCTCAAAAGGAAAAAGGAAGAGAGGGGTGGGAGGGAATTGAATTTCTTTGGAATTGACATTAATGAAGTATTGATAGAGCTATTGGCAGGTTTGGTCCATAACTTATTATCCTAATTAAAGTGTTTGATATGTTTCCTTCCTAATCACATCTTTATTGCAAAAATTCTTCAATTCGAATTCCACAATTTAAAGTTCCATTTATAATTTTTTTTTAATAAAAAAGGTTGTCTACAAAATAGTATCACCTCACCCTATAAGAGGACAACTAAATTCAAGGTTTTGTAGACTAAGCCCCATGGAGCAACTTCTAAGCTAATATCTAATGCATTCTCTCACTTAAATATTTTCGCTTCTATTATTGGTATGAATTTGCTAGAATAAATATATTAAAATAGTTAAGGTATGAGTATAATTGTTAAAATTGTTTTAAGTTAATTTGTTTCATTTGTCTGAACCTTGCTCCCAATTACGTTGCTGGATCCATAGAGTACCTTGGCCTTAAAGCCCAGTCAAGTTTTCAAAGTGCAAAGAACATCCCCGCGTTTCTATTTTGGTCAAATCATATTTTCAGTATTTTTAAACAACAAAAATTAATTTTCAAAAAATTATTATTATGTCATACAACAATACTAAAACTTTTAAAATTTATAAACAAAAAAAAATAATTATCATATATTCAATTAATGAATAATTTATTTCATCAAATTAATCTATTGATTTAATATTTATCAATATATTTTAATAAGACACGACGCATAATTTTTTAAGTTTACTTATGAAATATAAGAACTTCAGTACAATGTCAATTTTTTAACTTTGCCTGTAAAGTATAAAAACTCCATCGTAATGTATAAGATAAATAATATTTAATTTATTAAAATTTTTTTGATGCTAAGAAGTAAGACAATCCTACCATCGAACTGATCTAAACATGCAAACAACCAAAATGTCATTATTAATTTATTAGTTTTTATAAATATACAGGACATGTTATTAACTCTCTTAACAAAACCAAAATTACATTTTACCTTATCATAAGAGCAAACGTAAGCCAATGAGAGGAGAGTATGTTAAGCAGCAGGTCCATGGGCTTTGGCCGACTAGTCCATGGCTCTGTGGACATAAGTGTCAAAATATTATTACACAAGTTCATTATAAGACATGAACATAAATATTCTTAAGAGTAAATAAACCATTATTATAAGTAATATATTTCGAGAATGATATGATATTATTGTTTGAAATTGAAACCAGCATTACATTTTAGCCTAAAAAAAGGCACGTAAACTGTAATGCAGCTTGGCGGATGTGATCATTTCCTGTGTGTTTGGGTTTTGCTTCTAGCAGTCTTCAGGAAAGGGAAGCAAGAAGAAATAAATGTAAGTTTTACCAAGACCTTTAGCTAGCAATGCTCAACTTATCAATATCTAGCAAAGGCAACTTATCTATACATAACACAAACCTTTGCACCGATCGACCACAATACGATATTGAGTGAAGACAGTATTCAACATGTGTGCTAAGTCAAGACAGTGTCCAACTTATCTTTATCATATCTCCCACCTCTCTTTCATTTCTATTTTTGTCATATACTTTTTTTCAATGGCTCGATCAAACGTATCCCTATCCCTCAACCTTGAATATTGGCAACTTTGTATCCATTCACCTCAACCAAGATTCCATACACCAAAAACTCCCCTACTTTATGCAAGGATCGTTTTTTCTTTTCATACATGCTTCATTTACATTATGTATAAAGGAATCTTTAATATTATTTTATTTTCTTATTTCTGATTAAGTGGTCGATTATAACGTAAAGTGCGCACAGTGAGTCTTGTGGCATTTTTCTCTATTAATATTATTTTGTTGTTGACGGCTATAGACGCAAGAAATGACCCGCCAACGCCTTTTCTCAAGAAAACAATTTAACTTGATTAATTTAATAACATGTGATAACAACGCCGCAATTGTCATTAACAAGACAAATAATAATGCAAAAGAAACATGAATTTTTCATGTGATCCTCCAATTAAATAAAGACACTATTTAGCGTAATAAAAACGATACTAATATCATGTGCACTCATCTCTATAATTCGACTTTTGTAATACTTATCTTTTTGTTTTTCTTATTGTGGTTTTTTATTTTTTTTCTTATAAATGGGACATTTTAACTCTAATTCCTTTAACAATCATTAAGAAAAGGTTAATAGGTATATTAAAATAAAAAGGAATCCTTTAACAATTAAAAATAGCAATAAACAATACAAAATTTAAACTTTAAAGTTTCACATTTAAGTGCGAATTAAGATTGGAATAATATAATGTTTGTATTCTTTTTTGTATGAAAAAAATAGATGGAAATTCAAATTTTGCCCTTTCTTTTAAGTTTTTATTTCGATTTTAGTGAGATCAATATAGAAAAATACAAAATTTTTTCATAAAAATGTACATATATTTATAATCTTTCAAAGTTGAGTGGGGTCACCCTTGATAGTTGAGTAAGTAGGTTAAGCCTTGATTATTGTACTACAATTGTCATTAATCAAGAAGGTAATCTAATAGAAATCTGCACTTGTAATTTATGTCAAACCTAGAGAAAATGAAGGAAAGAAAAAAAAAAGATAAAAACTTAGAATAATGGTAGTGGTTGTTGGTTATGTAACAAGATATTAGGCAATATATCTTGATTGAGGAGGGGCCATGGTTAGTTAAAGCTGTGAAATAGAAGCAACAAACATACAAAAAAAAAAGATTTAATAATTATTAACCTTACTTAAAAAAAGACTTTGAAAAAGCATCTCTTAATCTAACTCATGATAGAAAACAAATAAGGAAAAAATTCCACTCCCATCTCTTCTCCAACTCACATTCTTTCATACCACGCCAAAACATTCCCCCCAACCAGACACTTCCTTCCCCACTCACCTCTCCAACTGAACTCCCATATAAATAAATATATATGTCTTTATTTTATTCCCCCATTAATTATTTGTCACCTTTTCTTCCTTCTACGTTAACTGTTTCACATTTCTTTTATTTGAGACTATAACGGAATTACAAGGTTCCTTGCCGGGGAGCAAAATTTTCTCTCCAATTTCAGCCATTTTCAAGTGCTCCTTCTGATTGGGAAATCCTTGGTACAAAGTTTTGGATTTGTTTAAACCCAAATCTGAAATTCTAAATTGATGTTTTGTACTATTATTTATTATAATATGTGTCGCATTTTATTCAATTTTCTCTTGTCTAGAATCTTATGGTCTAATTTATTCTCTATTTTGATGCTTGCTTTTGATGTTTACCTAGTGCAGCAGGATACTCATCATGGAGAAACCAAGATCTTCATCTTCTAATCAAAATGCCACCGTCGACAACCAAAACTACGTATCACTATCACCACCGTCGTCTCCACTTCAAAACCACCACCGTTACCGCCAAGATATAGCTACCGACTTCTTTTCTATGTACAACTCCATTTTCCCCCCAAACTCTCCTCTCCCTTATTCCCTGTCCCTCACGCCTTCCTCTTGCTCTTCCTCGGATGACCTCCACCTTGATCTCAAGTTCACGTCAGACGCCACAGCCACCGAGCACCGCCTCAACCAGGCTCGTCTCATCCTCGAGTATCGGCAGCTATGTGACCACTACGAGCTTTGCTTTACGCGCCTCCAAGCTCTCATTAGAGAGCTAGAATCTCTGCGAAAAGAGAATACGGATCTTCGGACGGCCAACACTGAGTTGATCAAGCTGTTGAGCCTGCACTCGTCGTCCCAAGCTGCCATGAACAGAAACCTTCAACGCGAAGAGGTATCGGATTTGAACGTGAAAACATGGGAGAGGAGGAGTAGTAATGGTCAGAGGAATTCGCTGCCGAAGAGCGTTTCAGTCAGGTCTAGTAGTTATCTTAAGGTCAACCAACAGCAAGGTTCGAGCAACCAGCAGCGAGTCTTCAACCCGTCGGTGAGTTACCGTTTTTCCATTTCCTGAGGGGGAGAATTTTATTTGTTATATCATGACAAATTATATGTATTTTCTTTTTGGTAATATGAGAAGTTTAAGGAGAGAGATTGGGGATTTGAGCCTTAGACTCAACCCTCTTAAAGAGAAACAACAATCAATAAACTAAGTCTTCTTATTCTCTCAATTGTTATATTGGTGTGAATTAAATCAAGTACTTGCCACTCTTGAATTTATTAACTATAATTAATAGTATACACCCAAATACCTTTACATTTATACCAGACATAAAGAGATTGAATTGCTTACATACTGTGAGTGATGTATAAGGTTTATTTTCGGTCATATTGCTGATATTCTCCATTTCTACTTTCTATCCTACATTAATAAATTGTCAATTGAAAGCTAAAAGATATATAAAAAAAAGTAAATATCGTTATTTATAAACTACTGCTAAAAGCTATTTAATTATGTACATATAGATAGTTTTTAAACTTTATAATTGTAATATAGTTAAGAAAATATTGAACCATATTTAAGCATTTGCTTTTTCTACAAGTAATGGTATACATATTTGAAAGTTTTAATATATGTTAAAAAGATGTTTTGGTAGCTTTAAATTTTGTTTCATATAATTAAAGATATTATTTTCAAGAATAAAGATCATAAACATCAATACCAATGTAGTATCCTTTTTAAACATAATTTATCTTGCACTCGAGTCATTGGTTTAATGGCAAATGCATATTATTCTTTTTCCAAAAAACTAGATTCGAATTCTCTCTTTTAAAAAAAAATAAAAAAATAATAATGTATCATTAAGATTATTCTTGTATTTTAGTGTATATAATAAACATGTAACTTGCACTGTGTCTTTCTTCTGGATTTAGCCATGATAATACTCTATTAATCAGTATTTGCAAGGGTTTAAGAGGAAAATCATAACTTTCTCAAATATGCAGCGGCGAATGTATGTGCCACCTGAAGCAAAAAAAGAGTTAGAGAATGCAATGGAATTGGAGGTATACAATCAAGGCACGGTCAAGACGGAGCTGTGCAACAAATGGCAGGAGACAGGCACATGCCCCTACGGCGACCAATGCCAGTTTGCCCATGGAATCACCGAGCTACGTCCAGTTATCAGGCATCCAAAATACAAGACCGAGGTTTGTAGGGTGGTCCTCGCCGGCCAGGCATGTCCCTACGGCCACAGGTGCCACTTCCGTCACTCTCTTACCGAGCAAGAGCGACTACTAATTCCACGTTAATTCATATTATTCGGCTCAAAGAAAAAAGTGTAAATAACCCTGACTGACGCTAATAAAATCAGAAATGTCAGCATGGAAAGAACACTGTCCAAAGTCATAATTATGATATAATAATTTGTAGTGTTAAATGAGTTTATATAAATTCCGAATGTGTGATGATATTCATTAAACTTTATGTATGAAAATTTTTCATAAAAAAAGTGATGATAAATGTACCGTATGCCAAAAAAAAAAAAGGGTTTTTGATTTTATTTTGTATATATTATTTTGAGTTATAAAATGAGAAATAATTCTCTACTACATCACACTTTCCTGGTCTATTTCAGAATTTAAGAAAGAGTACGACATACAATTCAAATATAAAATGTTAGTGTATAACTCCACTCGACCCACGCAAATAGAACTGAGTCTAAGTAATGATACAAAAAGTCCATGAAAAAGAAATGATGTACAAGCATAAGTTTATAAGAAGACCGACCAAAACAACAAACTTGAACTTTTGCAATGATGGTGTTTTAGTTTGGTGGTACTAGGCAACTTTCAGTTCAAGTTAGTTAAATATATATATATATATATATATATATATAAGATTCAAATCTGTGGTCAATTACAAATGCCTTTAGATGAAAGTGTATACAGAGACGTATGTGACGAAGGTGTTGTCTTCGTTCAATGTGTTTGATGTGTTTCGGTTGGATTAACATGATTGCTAGCTACAAGTAATTAATATCTACTTGCTATTCCATATCAACTCCTAGCTGTGAGGTGCCTTGGCATTTGGCAATTGGGATTCTATTCATTTGTGGTTTCCCAGCCCATAGTTAGGAAGGGCTAATTTAGGCAAAAGCTGGGCCTGATGAATTCTGCGATCAGGCTTTGGGCAGCTGGGTTGGATACTTTTTTTTTAACATTGTAATCAAAGTTTTCTTTATATTAGTTTTTATTTATAACATAATTATATTTAAATAAAAATGATATACAATTTACTAGTAATAGGGAAGTAGGGATATAAATCTTGGACCTTAATCTTTTTAAAGAAGTTAAGAACCACTAAATCAAAGTCACATTAGTTGTTTATATAATTAATTAACTATGGTAAAAATATGAACTCTAGTATTTATTTTCAAAGTGAAGTTTTCTTACTCATTAACTTTTACTGAAATTAATATTTTAAGATCTTTTACTTTGTTTACCTTATTATTTTGAGTTTATTTTCGAATTGTTATGTCTTAAAAGAGATTTTGGAAGAAATTAAGAATATTGTTGGAGAAGTTTCTGATATCTTCTTGTTTGCCTTCACCTGTTTGGGGAAAGGAGGTAAAAATTAGCACAAAAACAAATCCATTTGTGTAAAAGTTTTTGGATCAGTTGCATTTCTGATGTAAAGGGTCCTCAAGCTAATAAAAATTTATATAGGAACTGGAATTGTTTCTTTGAATACTTTAGGAAGGATGATTCTGACTCATGAAAAGCAAGTTCTGCCTTAAAATGCACTGAACATTGGTGTTGCTTGTTCTTGATCAGACCTGTACACTAGAAAGTCTAGGGAGGCAAATCCCTCTTTTTCCCTTCTTAACTTCTAGAAGTAAATGGACCAAAATTCAAACAATTGCTTGGGATGTCCAACTATAAGAAAAATCCTTTGCCGAAACATTTACCACATCTAAAAATAGAGCAATATGTGAAGAAGTACAAAACTGTAGCTCTTGTCTAGAAATTGTTGTTTGAAGTAGCAGCAGGTGTTAGAGCATGCTTGGAAAGTCTTTCCATTCCAGGTGATAAAAAGCTGAATGGATATCTCTGGTGGAAGTTGGGGCATGGATTTGAGGATCTTAGCAAGTCGATTTAGCTATAATTTCAGGCTCGTTTCTATTGTATCAGGTTCTTCCTGCTTCTTTTGGCTGAATGGAAAGCTACATTTATTGAAAGCAGATACTTTAATTATTGAGAAAGTCAAGAATGGTGAAATCATCTTACTGGATGCATACAAGAGAAAGTAAAATGAACTGGTATTTAAACTGCTTCTGGTTTGGCCGCACACAGTGTCCAAATCCCTGAAAGAAAAGGTTAATGGTAAAGTAAACCTTCAAACCATTTAGCAGAAAACAGGTTTTGTTTTCTCACTAGTCTAACATGCCATACAAGTAAAACAACATGCATTTAAACTTGTGATATCCAGTCAGATACGTTTTTCCTTTAAAAATCTATCAGGAAACTTTTTATTTCAACAATTCCTTATAAAGTTTCTTAAACTGAAGTTTACTCAAAAAGATGCTCAACGTCTCCAGGCCAACTCAGATGAATGACTCCTGGGAGGTTTAGAAGAATCAGATTCTCTGCCATTCAATAATGAATGACTAGCAAACAACATCACATTAATCAGACCAGAAAGGAAAAAACCAGTACTAATAATTGCTAATAAGAATTTATGACAATGTTCAAAAGCCTCAATTGCCTGTTTTGCTCAACACCATGAAAACATTCCACCTCCCATTTCAACCTGAATCTGATGTTACCTTCTGTGCACGCGCCTTGTCCTGTTTTATGAATTAAAAATTTTGTTCCTCTGACAAATTTTGAGTTAAAGCAATTAAACTAATTGATTATATGCGATTTAAATATAATTAAAAATGCTCTTTTCAAGGGGATTGCAATTATAACAAGTGCGTTTAATGATTATCAGTGAGTTCAGACTTCAAATTTTGAGTATAAAAAAAAATGCTGTTATATATACAGATTTGTAGCGCGTGATATGATCTGCAGGTTATTAATATTCTTCGCTGGCAAGTAATTCATTCAACTTTCCAAGAGAAGCACTGTTTAATTACCTTTTCCTCTACGCTTCCCTTTCTTATTTTAAGGTGACACTACATACTAAAATTAGCTCACGATTCCTACAAACTTAATGCTAATTGCTCAGCCTTGGCCTAAAAATTATTGTTCTTTGGTCAGCCTGACCCTAAAACTTATTGCTTATTGCCTTAAGTATTCACTTTCCTTTCCAGCTCCCTTTTTTTTATCACCCCCAACCACTATTTAAAGGACTATCCCTTGGGGTCTTGACATCAAGAGGCCTCTGGCAGAAAGGTTAACCATGGACTTGAATCAGTCAATAGAGTTCACACCTTCTTCAACCTTGTCTCCACATATTCATAACTTCCTGCCAATGACTTCTTTCATGTTGTCTTTTCACCAGCCTTCCAAGGAGGTGAAGCTCATAGTACCCCTCATGAATTCTGTTCATGTATATAATGCCTTTTTTTCCTATATATAGGAAGATTTTACCTGCCTTTTGCACACTATGCACATTATTCATCACAATCTCCTTGCATTCTTCATGTGAAGGACGGTGAAGAACTGAAGCGTTCCCATCTTCTGATTCAGAAGCGCAATTTAGAGTTATTCTGGTACCAACAAATGATGGAGATTCATAACATTTCAGGTCCCTTATTTATCAACCTATCTTTGACTGTGCATGTTTAGTATGTAGTGGTGGTTAAAATGACTGGAAAATATCATAAAATTATATATAGATTTGTCAGATATGCAATGTATATATTTGGTTTTTCTGATATATATATATATATATATATATATGACTAAGAACAGGACAGAAGTAAGAAAACCTCACCAGAGTTTTTATTTGACTAATGATTTTATGCTATGCAGAATTATTTTCAATGCCAGTTTTTATACCTATTAATTGAGCTGATTCCCTGGTTGAGGGTGAAATGAATGAATGGCATCTATATATATACCGTATTATATCTTTGGTTGCAGTACATCTTTATTTACCAATTTTTCCTTTTTCTTTTGTTCTGTTTTTACTTTGTCACTGATTGTTGTGTCTGTTTGCTTTCATGCTGAACTATAGCTTTCAAGAGCCACCATCAGCTACCTCTAGCAAGGATCAAGAGGATTATGAAATCTGATAAAGATGTGAAGGTTTAGTATAAGTTGATCTGATTTTATCCTACATTTTCAATTTTGATGGATATATTATTCTCTTGATTTTAGGATGTTATATAATACTAGGCATTACATCTTGAAATTGGGATTTTATGTATTCTTTTCAGTTTTATTCTTCATACCAAGCCATGATTTTCCTGTAGTGATTTCAGTCGCCCACAAATTAGATATACTCTATTGATAATTAAATGGCCTGGCTTCTAAAGATAAATCTCTCATGCATGATTGCATTGCCTACATCACCAAGTAGTTTACAAATTAACATTGTTCATGTTCAAATCCTCTAAACATCTAATTCTGTACAGATATTGAATGAGTTTGTTACATACACAGAGAAGAAGAATTGTAAACAAAATAAATCAGAGAGCAAAGGTTGAAAAAAGGGCACTGTACTAGACTTCACACATAAATGATCAAACAATTTACAAAAGAAAGAGAAAAAACAAAAGTAAATTTAATTTGATTTTGATGATGGCAGATAAGTTATATTTAACCAAGACCTTAAAGAAGCAAATGCCAACATTTTGTTATATTTTATACAATTTGTGGACCTTGTTACTTACATATTTAACATGTTGCACTAGATGATCAGTGCAGACACTCCTGTCTTGTTCTCCAAGGCCTGTGAGCTCTTCATTCTGGAGCTCACTTTGCGTGCGTGGCTGCAAATGGAAGAAGGTAAGCACCGGACCCTGCAGCGCTCAGACATTGCCAGGGCTATAAGGCAAGAGGAGGGACTTGATTTCTTGGTTGACGTTGTCCCATTGATTAACCAAAAGGTCTTTTTTCTTTCATTTCCCTTGCATAGTTGCAGCATTTTATATCAGTTAGGAAACTGATTCATTGAGTTCTACATAGGCTTACAATGCTACAAACTATAGATACAATTGGTGAAAGTTGCATGGGTTTGAATCGTTTATTTCAAATGCTTTGGAGGGGGAAAAATTAAAGATTGTAATTTCAATACTATGAATTGTTATAGGATGATCATGTAAAATTTGCAGAGGAAAATGAGTGTGATCCTATTAATCAACTGCAGTTTCCTGTGTTGGATATGAATGCTGTAAGTATGAGAGCGCAAATATAATCAGTTGATTCATTGTTCATTTCGTATTGAGTTAGATAACTGTGGGTTGAATCTACTTAGAACATGCCTGTTTACCCATCTCCTTTGTAGGATCTGGTTATGAGGAGTCCAGAAGTTCAGCATCTCATGATCAAGACACCAATGTCCAATGATGAGTTTAATTATGAATCTGCTACCAGGGTATACGAGATTTGATGTGAAATATAGAATTTATACGTAAGAACCATATTCATACACCCTAAATTTGATGGTACCTTTTCAGTTTGCATAGGACATTACTTGTTTGACACTTAATTTGGTGGTATACAGTATATATTACATTTATTTATATTTGCATGCATGACTCATTGACTGCTGTTTGTTTATGCAGTGAATGAAGGCAGCTGAAAGAAAGAAAAAACAATGGCAATGAAGGAACATGAAGCAGCTGTAACCAGAGAAAAAGAAAAGAAATTAGGCTAGGATAAGGATATCCTACATTATCTTTCCCATCTTACAATCTTAAATGAGTAATTGGAGACTTGTCTTTTGTATGAGATGCTCTGAATTTTCCTTCGTTTAATAATAGATGTCCTACATTGGAGTTCAAAATATTACCTTCAAATGCAAATAGATGCACTTGAAGTCCAACATGAATATAACAAAAATGCAGGTGGGTGTGAAGCAAAACACTCAAACATAAAGGACCAACTTGCAAAAGATCAAAAGGAATCATTGCGCATTGATTGTTGTATTTAGACATCTCTTCCTCATCCTAAACCAAACTGTAATCATCTGCGTTTTGGTGTTCTAAGGACTGGATGGGGGGGAAGAAGCGATGGAAGTTGGAAGAAATTAGTAGCTCAGAGAAGAGGGGGAAGGGAGATTGGAGCTACTGGAAATTATAGGAATGGGCTCTTTGGGATGACGGATCAAAGCTAAGTTTTAATCGTTTTTTATGCAGCAATTCTTCCCAAGGCCGCCCGTTCCGGTGATTTCCAGGGGCTTCTCCCTTTCCCTTACATCTCTCCCAAGTTTCTTTACCTATGGAGGAAGGTATCTCTTTTCAATTCTTCTTTTTGTGGGAGTCTTTAATTTCATCACATTGTTGGTTCTGTTACAATTATTATTTTGGATCTGTTGTTCATCTCATCTGCTGTGTTAGTATACAAAATCCAGCCTGCTTATTGTTTTTAAGGGATCCAAAGGAAAAGTGAAGAAAAAAATGCCCAATTAATGTTGAGCCATTTTGTTCTTTTTTGTGTATTTAGTTTTTGGTTATGTTTGAGTTGATTGCTCAAGTCCATCCATACCAACTCCTTTACAGATCTTGTTCAAATAAAAGAAAAAGAAAAAGAGAAAACTCCTTTCACAGAGAAAGGCATGATGATGATGATGATGCCTAAGATCTAAGCTGTTAAGACAATCCATTAGGGATGACAACTCTCTAATGGTAGAATTGTTATATATATGTATATATTTATTCCCCTGGTCGTTCAATTAATCAATGTGGTTCCTTCTATCTTTATTCTATAGTTGAAAGAATGATGCAATTGTTAATTAAACTGCTATTAGAGCTTTGTCTAAGTCTTCTATAAATACTTATCAATTACTACTTTAAGATTCCAATTTGAATGCTTTTCGAATTTCCCAATAAGAGCAATTGCCCTCACAAGTTTATACGTGGACTGTCAATAATCCTATGGATTCCATTTTGTAAATGTTATTATTAACTTTGGATATGTGCAATCATCAAATTTTAGACATCTATAACTATATTTAAAAGAAGCCCCAGCAGCTTCCTTGCTTGACGCTTGACTCCATCTAAGTTAATCTGTCTAACCAATATTATTATAAGGAAAGGGGGTAAGGATAACGCCATCGGTCACTGCCACTCCTCTCCCTTGCGTGTCATGTTCATGCTCCCCAACCACTTCAGTCACAAATCTCATGTTGTTTCAATTCAACTTTCTCCTTTTGTCTTTTTCTCCAAACATGTTTTCTTTATCCTTTTTCAACAGCCACTTTAAATCTAACCACATCTATCTAGAGTTTGTTTCAATGATTAACATATTCGAAAATTTAAGATTTTAAAAAGATTGAAAATAAAACTCAAATTCAAAAGTCAATTACTATGTGAAAGGTTCATTTCTAGTTGAAATGATATTTATATTGGTTTATCTATTGGACAAGCCCAATTACTCTGTCAATCTCATCTCATAAATTTATTAATAATATAAAAAAAAATCTTGACAATCAAATAAATAAAAATCAACTAAATCTAAAACATGAGCTTGATTGCTTACATGTCAGTATTTTTTTTATGATAGCCATATTAAAGTACACGAATCTCATAAAATTTTCAAAATGAGTGTTTTTAAAGTTTCTTCCTTCATTCAATAGCTAAAAAATATATTTCCTCTTAAACATACATAAAATTTGACATTAGTCGAATACCTCATTTCAAGTTTATTTTATCATCTAAAATTTATGACAAACAAAAAAAAATTTAAGAGAAAAATGTGTAGTAAAAATAAATAATATAATTTGTACAGTTACACTCTTTTGCTTCATCATTGGCAAACAAGTATATAACTGATTATACAGCTTCATACGACTAAATCAATTTGAATATAAAAACGATAAAACACATACAAGCATATTGGAGATTTTATTTAAAGTTTTGTTTTGTTGTGAGGTTGTTTATAGGTGTATTTTTGTATGAAAGCACCACCACAAATACCACAATGATGGCTACAATAACAATAACGATATATTTTATAAAATAATATTTTATACATGTCAATATACATCAACAATTAGATATAATAATATAATTAGTATTACATATCTATTTTATAAAATATTCTTAACTTAATTAAAAAAAATTTACCACCCTAAACGTATAGTACGAATAATAGACTAGTTATGTACATAAATTAAACACACACTCATTTGCTTTCTTTTCACTTGGTAAATATGGTAAGGAATACAGTTCTGATCGGATCTGATGGGCTACTAAGGACAAAACAAGTCCAAATTGGGTCCCGAAGAATTTACCCAACTTAGTAAGCAATGCACCCAAAGAAAAAATAAATATCAATGGACTAACCCATGAGCACAATAAACAGTAACTAAAATAATAATCCTGACTCTGAACTCAGCCCAGTTGTGAGAAAGAATCAAAATGGTTACAAATGAGACCCTATACTAATTAATCAATGGAATTTCTTTTGATACATAGGGTTATAAATGTGCTTTCATTTTATAAATATTAATAAAATCAAAATGTATATTTTTGTTTTATTGAAAGAAAAGATAGCATAAACAATAATAAAGCCAAAAACAATTTCTCATATTCAGACAGGCTTTAGGGGTAGTTTGGGATAATGGGTTTCAATTGATGTGAAGGTACATAGATTTGTAATTTGATTCCTTACGCATGAGGTTTGGGTTTGAATAATGTTTGACACTGATACCACACTACTCTCTATGTAAAAGCATGATTAGTTCAAACTTAATTGAGGCCGACAAAGTTCCATCATAAATCCTGCTCCTATTAATTTGGACATGATTTAAAGAAACAAATGGTGAAGATTTTTCTATCTCCATATGTGGATGTAGCCTTTATATCTTGCATCAATCTCATAGAACCATTTGAACCAAAACTTATTTGAGAACTCAACATCGTGTTTGTTCAATAATTTAATTAATAAACTGACCATATATAAATTATATTTGAGGTATTCTTGCAAAGTAAATCACACATCCGTTTTATTGTAGAGGATTATTTTCGCTCTTTGCTTTCGTTTCATTATGTATAACTAGCTAGGGAGAAGAATATAAAGTCAATCAATTTGATAAAAAATCTCACACATTATTGTGATGAATGTCTTTAAGTTATCAACAACTTGGCCATGTGAAGAATATATATCACAATTTCATGCAGCAAGACATAAATTCTCCGGCGATTGGATATTGCGTATCCATACATATACATGTGGGTAGATTATGCACGAAGGGAGAAAAGAAAAAGTACTAAAGGATGAAAAGGTGCATTGCCTTGGAATATTTTAAACCAAAATAATCAACCATCAATTATTTTGACTAAATGTGGTTACATACATTTGACGTTTACGTCATAGATGGATGAGTAGTTGATTCTTTCCTCTCCGTCGTAATCTCCCTTAGATTCGATAAAAAGAATGCTGAATGATTTTAATGGAGAGGAGGTCCCTCCATTGAGGGAAAGGTAAAAGGCTAGGGATAGCAAAGTGCTTGGGGGACTCATGCCAAAAAGAGGTCAAAAAATGAGGCTATGCCAAGGGCTTAAATTATAGAAGAAAGGATAGGAATAAAGATAGACCAATCAATGCCGAAATTGATTCTTTCCCAACCCCCTCTCTGGAGAATTCTCCATTATAGCTAGTTTGTCAAATCCTCCAGCCAATCAGGCAGACTCTTTGGGAACAATTCAATCTCTCTAACTCCATGCAATTGCTTGCATTTGGTGATTCTAATTCTAGACCAACAGACGTAGTAGAGAGAGTGGTAATGTCAAGAAAAAGGCAACAACTAATGCTTTATGAACTGACCTTATTGAGCACTTTTTTTGTGCTGAAATGGTATAGGAATCGCATTTTCCAGTGCACTTGTAAGATCCCTTTCTTTTTCGGTGTTGGATTGACAACAGAATATTGTTGGTACACATAAAGTATCATATATATATCTAGTAGAGTTGCCTTGTTTAATTTCATGCATAATTTTTTTTAAGGAAATCAATCATATTTATTAATACGTGAGTCTTACTTATTTACGCGGATAATAATCGACATTTGTATACAAGAAGGCAAATCATTCATGGCATTCTGTCTTATATTGTAGTGAAAAGGTTGAGGATAGAAATAAAATTTTGTAATAAGTCAAGAAACTTCAATTTAGTTTTCTTAAGCTTAATTTTGATAAAATATCTAAATATGCATTTTGACGTTTCAAGATAATATCTTAATAGTTAAAACTTGAAACTTGGGACGTCCATATATCCAAAGTTTGGGAATGAAGATAAGATTTATGTTGTAGGAAAGATATCACTCCTCCCTTAACTGTGTAACTCGAGTTCTTGGATATTCTTAAGGGGGGGTTTTGGGTTAACCAAATAGGGCAGGTTTTGGCTTAATAACCAAATAGGGAAAGCACAATCTTCTATAGAAATGTACAATAAAAATCCAATCATCTCGAGAAATATGCCGTGCTTATGGAAGGGATAAAGCCATAAACTAAATTGGGTGGCTTCTATATTGCAATCGGATAGGGAGACAGTGCTCGAGGTAGCAAAAGTTAATTATAGATTTGTTCTTTGACCACTAGTGAATGATCTTCGTTTTAGCATCTTCTACTCCATCCCCACCATAATGCTAATGTCATGCAATTTACCACAAAGAACAATAGAATTTTTTCAATGAAATTGATTCCCTCAATCACCTTGTATAAGACAGCACCAAACAAAAAGAACACTCAATTAATAAACTCTGATTTTAAGTGCCAAACTTATGGGAAAAACTCTGACTAATTACCCTCGTGAAAATATTAGTAGTTGGGACTGAAACATGGGCTGATCAGGTTTTATTACCAGGTTAAAAGGATTTTAACAATAAAAGTTTGACCAAAAGAATGTTATGCCTCCTTAAAGGGAGTTAAAAATTGAGAAGGCTTTTGAGTCGTAATATAAAATTAAACACTAATGATCAAATACCAAACTAACTACTCTCTCAAACTTAAAAAATAAATTTTAATAAAGTTGATTGATTAGAAGGAAAGGACAGGATACATGTAAAAATGTACAAGAGAACAATACAAGAGGGAAAAGGTATAAATACATAAAAAAGTATTATATATGAGATTTTTACTTCAATTTTCTCTTATATGCCAAGTATATGATTTGATTTTTTGTTATCTTGTATATTTAAAAAAAATAAAAATAAAAATCATTCCAACCCCAACTTTATCGCTTTTATATTGATTGTGTTTCACTATTCATATTTTAACCACAGCTTAATCATTCATAATTCAGCTAGAATAGGCCACAGTTATAATGCTTATTTAAGGGTAGAGTCAATCTCCTCACATAAAGTTTAGAGATAAACTCCCTATGTAAAGTTATGAGTTCTTCTTGTCCGTATACAAGAATGTGAAGTGTA